TCATTCAGACAGAAGTCCTGCGGAGAAAGAGAAGCTCTTTGCGCCCTCGCAGCCACGCCGGTGTCTGTTGCTCCTCTTGCTTCTCGCGCTGCTGCTGCTGCTGCTGCTGCTGCTGCTGCATCGCTTCCGGTTCCTTCCGCTGTTGTTGCTGCTGCCGCTTCGGGCAGCTGCTCGTGGACCTACAGTGCAGCCGCTTTGTTGCTGCCTGCGCGCTGCGACGGCACCACCTATTCTTCCTGCTGCCGCTGCTGCCGCTGCTGCAGCTGCTGCTGCTGCTTCTGGTCCGTCTGCGTCTCCGCAGCCCTCTCGTCTGCAGGCATACTTGACGGTGGTGCTGCTGCTGCAGTGGCACGTGGTGTTGCTGCAGCGGCAGGCTCTGGTGCTGCAGCCGCTGCTGCTGCTGCTGCTTTCCCTTTTTTCCCCGCATTGTCTTCCTCAGTGCGCGGCACAGCTCCAGCTGCTGCTGCTGCTGCTGCGGGCGCTTCTGTTGGCGGTTCTGGGTGTGTGTGCGCCACTGCTGGGAGTGGAGCCACTGCAGCGTTTGCTGCTGCTGCTGCTGCTGCTGCTGGTGCTGGTGGGGTTGGGGGGGGAGTTTTATCAGTATCTGCTGCTGGTGCGGAGCCCGTGTCAGTTGCACTGGAGACCGGCGAAGTGTCTGCGTCGTCTGGTGCTTCCGTTTCGCCGCTGGGCGGGACTTGGGTGCTGGCAGCAGCAGCCTGCTGCTCGACGTCGGTGAGCTCGCGGGCGTGCGCGGCTGCTGCTGCTGCTGCTGCTGCCGGGGCCGCAGCAGCAGCGTCCGCGGGCCCGTCCGCTGTGACCGCCTGGTCCATGAAGATGTTGGGGACGAGCCAGAAAGTGAGGGAAATGGGAAGGAGAGGACAGACGCCCATGGCCAGCCCTATGCCCAGCGGCAGCCCCGAAAAGTCGCATGCAGGGCCCCCAGGCGTGGCCAGCGTGCGGACGCCCAGCAAAGTGAAGCACAAGAAGTTGCCGCTGAGCTTGGACATGGACTGGGCGAAGTTCTGCAGCCCCGCAACCACTGCGTACATGGTGCTTTCGATGTTCTTGGGACAGAGTCTGGAAATGAGCACGCAGCCCGGCATGAAGGCCCACATGGAGGCCACTTCTTCGATGATGGAGGCCGAGCAGAAGTACCAGGCCTTGTCGGGAATGCCGATCCTGCGGTTCCAGCGCAGCACCATGGCCACGTCCAGCAGGCAGGTGAGCTGCTGCAGCACGGAGGTCACCAGGAAGGCCCTGCGGAAGGTCCAGCGCGAGACGAACCGCTGGAAAAGAGCCACGCCCACGAAGGCGAAGATCGACTGCGCCAGCGCGTTCCAAGTCAACAAGTAGCTCCAGCTGAAGTGCGGGCCGTCGGCCACGCAGTCCGGCCCCGCGCGCAGCCAGTAGGAGAACTGCGAAGAGATGTTCGGCACCAGCCACCGCCCCAGAAACATGTACAGCACTGGCTTCGCCAGGTGCGCGGGCATTGTGCACGCCACTGTCGCCGTTATGCACACCCCCGAGCAGAACCAGTAGCAGATCCCCACCACGTGCATGCGGTCGCTCATCAGCCCCGCCACCATCGACCCGAACGCGCACACCGTCAGGCACAGCGCGCACGCAAACAGCCGCCCGTGCTCCCGCAGCAGAAAGCCCTGCAAAGCAGCAGCACAGCCCGCAGCAGCAGCAGCACTCGCCCGCGGAAACCCCGCTTTCCGCAGCAGCTCCCGCGGAACCCTCGAACTGCACACCTCCACAGCCTGTTTGCACAAGAAATAATGCCAAACGCACCTTGAAACGCTCCGCTTTCGGGGTGTACGTCTCGCCCACCACCCCCGCGTGCGACTTCCACGGCCGAAACGGCCACGGCCACACCAGCAGGATCAGCTGCTGCGCACAGAGAGGCATGAACGGAGCCAACACCACCTGGAAAGGAAGATGATCCACCACGGGACCCACCCACACGGCCTGGGCAAACGTGCCCACGGAGGAGCACAGCCACACAAATGAAGTCAAGGCCGCCCCCGTGTGCGGCTTCTCCGCCATCTTCCGCGTGTACGAACCCTCGCACAGCAAGTCGTTGAAGCTCGCCTGCACCATTATTAAAAAGAAACCCGCAACTGCGATGCCCATCGTCAGCCGCCCTGCAGACGCTATCAACAAGATCGAACCCACCACGCCGCTCCCCGACGCCAGCAGCATGTACGAACGCTTGTGGTAACCCCCAAGTGCAAACAAATCCGAAACCGAGCCCACAATCCCCTTCACGCTCCAGGGAATCATGAACAGCGCCGTCGCCACGCTGTGCTGCTCCGCTGGCAGCTTCAGCACCTCCCGAAATACAGGAGTCGAAGCGGCGATCGCCATGTGGTAAGCTGCCCCCTTCAGGAATAAGTAGTTCGACATCAGGCACAGCAACAAAGATACCCCAAACTCCATGTGCAAACGGCGGAAATACAGCGCCGGCGAGCGACACGGGCGCAGGAACAAACGCCCACAGAGGCTCTGCGAAGAAGCAGGGCCTTCCGCCTCGCCAGCCTCTGAAGAGGACTTTGGCGGCACTGGAGCCACCGTGGGCAACTCCGCTTCATTTCTGCAGCAGAAAACTCCGACAGCTCAGCACAACGAGCCGGATACTGTACTGCGAATCGCTAGCCAGCTAGTTGCAAAATGCGCTGAATGGGAGCTCGAGATAGAAGACTATGAACAGAAGTGGGCAAAATAATGTAGCAGAACACCTCTATGTCTATAGGAGATGCTGTAAGCTACAATTTGAGGGTCCTTGGGTCTTACTTTGCCAGGTCCTCTAGTGCCGCCAGCTCAAGTACGGCATCAGACAGATCTGGTGCCGGCAGTGCGGCTGCATTCATTTTGAATTTTGTTGTTGAAGAATTGTTTGACAGTTATTGTTTTCTTTGTTCGGTTCTTTACATTTCCACAAATCTCTGTTTCGGTCCCGCGAAACGCAATAGTAGCTGCAGCTGTTTCCGCCGCTACTTCATGGACAGCGCTGCGGTGAGCTCGGCAGCCGCTGCCGTTTCAGCGTCTTTCGCGGGTCAAAACAGAGCGAAGCTTCTGGAAATTAAAGAAAAAGAGCAGGGGAAACAGATAATATGACCGCCTTCCGCAATGGCGAAGAGAACGAAGGAGAACAGCAATGGAAACAGCAGCAGCCTGCGGAATCTCACGGGTCTGGCGAGCGAAAGACACGTATAAATGCTTATCTTAGCTGCACAATGAAGTAACAATCTGAATCTAGGATCATAAAAGAGGATCTTAATGCTCAAAGCCCATTCGCAGCGTTACTGCGACTGAAGTGGCCCCGCGAAGATGAGCGAGAGGCTTAGTGTGTGACAATGCGAGACGGGAACTAGTGATAAGCATGAAGAAGAGCTTCTCACCCAATGTATTCGTCTACGAGAATCAGCAATGACAATGAGATGTGGGAAAAGAAGGGTAGCAGCTGCTCCAGCTAGAGGGTGAGCCGTGGCTGTGAGCTGCAGCGGCTGGGACCGCTGGTGGGTGGGGCGCGCCAGCGGCGATTTGGCCTTCTTCATAATTATTTCGGGAACAAAGGCCGCACTTCTTGGTTTATATAATACAAATAAAAGCGCCGTATAATCCTTTGTTCTGGCTCAGTTCATTGGCCAGCAAGATTCCAACTTCTGAATCGGTGTCCATCTGTTTGCATGAGCTCTGTGCGTGACTAATGAGACACCAGCCATCTACCATTGTGTGCCTGAAACGGCACCTACACAGTGCAGGCTCGTACTTATTGCACCATGTCAACCCGGCCACCACCTACCGCCTGAATACTTCATGACAAGAGCTTGTATTAAGTTGGCATCCTTCTGCATGCGATACACGTAACTTGTGCTGGAACGACAATTGTGGAAGGTTCTGTAGCCACGTACAAGTCTCCTGTCTTGTCACTGAAGCCCCCTAATCCTGCGGGTCTGCTCTAAAGGGACGGGGGTCCCGAAAGAAGGCAGCTCCTAACTGGAGCTTCATTGCACAGATCTCGCACTCCAAGGGTAGTAAATAAGGCTGTTCAGCACGGCAGCCAGTGCGGAGTTCCACTTTACCGTCACTCCTGAGGTTCGTTCGGTGATGTGTCAAATAACTCGTCTACGAATTGGATCTATCGCTTGCCTGTGCAGCGTAGTAACCGGTGGCAATGCATGCATCGCATACAGGTATTGGAATCTGTGCTCTTGCTAACGATGCAGCAATACTGAGAAAACATGAATTTGTAGGTAAGAGCGTCATTGCATGCAGTATGCACATCGTGTGAGAAGAAACGGAATGTACAGTGTACCTAGCGAGTGAAACTGTCACATTCACCCTAAAACTAAATAGAAAAAGACGAAAGATTATGGCCAAATCGCAGAAAAAATACGGAAACAAGAAAGCTTGGTTGTAATTCTAGCCTCGCTTTTGGGGCTGCGTGAGTCTACGTAAAAGGGAAGTGTACAACAATAGGTGAAACGTCCTTTTTGGTATTCCACTTAAGTTCACGAGCTGGATTGACTTGGCGCACCACAGCTCAGCAAACCTCCTACAGCCAGGCTATATCTTGGGCAGCTGATGCAGCACATTGCGATAACTCAGGTACATTGCTGTGCAGGGAAGCAAGCTGGACAGAAGATAACGGCTTTGAGTGTCTGCTCAGAGCCAGAAATGCCGTCTTCAGGCTTGCATATCCCGCACACATTTGGCCGTGGCTTATTTAGAACACAGGAAAGAGGAACTGAGTGGAATGTGATACGCTAATGCATCGAAAGCGACGCACAGAGACAAGGATATACGGACAGGAAAGCCAAGGCGAGCCTGCAGCTACAAAAGCCCAGTTTGCTCGATTTGTCAAACCGGTGCACTGCACTAGGCCGCAGTGAACACTGAGTAACTATGGTAAATTCAGACCTAAGAGCACAGTATAGATGTAGCTTCAGAGCTACTTATCTGAGGCTACCAAGGCGTCTCGTAGCTACTGTCACTGAGTAATACTTGCCTTTCGCAATTAGGCGAGCAAATGGGATTGCGGTGTTTGCAGAACTACGCTATTTTCTCTTTCATTAAAGACTTTGAAGCTTCTGAGTATCTCCAGGAACATTTTCTGTAGATACATTTTCAACATATTCGTGTTCGTGGGGTCCTCCGTACCCTTGAGAGCTGAATGTCAGAAAAGCAGTGTTTATTTTTCCAGGCATCCGCTAGGCACTCAATCACCAGTCCCTGTTTCTCCCTGTGGGTAGCGTATCTTGCCACGTGTTTCGCTAGCCTTCAACAGCTCTGTAGAGTTTTACGCAACTCTGTGAATGCTGTTATGGGTCGTTCAAGCGGCTTCCTGCTTGTACGTCCTTCTAGAGATAGAAACTCAGTGGCATCTCCACCTGGATCTTCTTATGCATGTTTCAGTATTAATACAGTGCTGTGTGGGCCGTCATAAGCGGAGTTCACTACATAGGTCTAGCAGGTTGTCAAACAGCTTGAGCAGGCTCTGAGGGGCGGTTCAATCCCTCTAGAGAGCTCCTGTGAATCCGTGCGAGTTATTGTTATTTACTGAAGTTCGAACGAGCAACCACTAAAGCTGCAAATAGATCTCTTCGGCTACCAAGATCTGTACATACTGTACAAGCCTTCCTGTTGTTAGGGACGCCAAGGAAACGGGGCTGCCGCGCACTTCGCAGGCTGGGAGTCCAGCTGCCGCATTTGTGGAGAACTCGAACAAAGGTGATGTTAAAGAAATCATTAAATTGTTATAAGTACTTTACTTTGAGCAGAGCAGTGGCTTCAAATAGGCTCGCTCTGCCACTGCCACACTGACGTTGGAAACCTGCTCCCTGGTCCAGAGTGGAACACTACTTTGCACCCCTCACAAAGCCTGCACAGAAAGCACCAAAAAGTCAGAGACATTTTAAAATGGATTAAACTTTCTATCCGACTACCGTGAGCACTCTGCTGAATAGTCATCATGTTCCCCAACCACCACTGTGGGGCCACAGCACGCACACTGGCCTAACGAATCTGTTTGCCTGCAACTGATGCCTACCTTTTACATAGAGCTAGCTTACGAGGTGCTGTGCATTGAGTAAATGATTTTGCCAGATTTGCCAGGCAATAGTATGATGTGCTTGTCGTGAGGGTTTTTGGCGGGGGCCTGGTGGCTGGGGAATCATGAAACAAAGGATCGTTAGCACGTCGAGCACCACAGTGGGCATGCTCTGGTTTTCGTTTGCCTCCCCTCAGTAGCTAAGCTGCGTGCATTTAATAATATAAGAGACCCGTGAAGAATCCTGATTATGTATCCCCAGCGCGGTATCCACAGCGAGAATGTGGCTGTGCTGCTGCCCAGCAGCCTTGCCTTCATACTCACCTTCATACTCAATGAGCATGCATACAAAGGGACATGACCGCTTCTGGCAAAGCTTTCAGCTGGCTATTGCGGTTAACTCGGTGATGCATGAACAAAATACAGGCCATGCAGTAGGCCATGGAGCTGGCTGCTGCTCGCACATGCTACTTGTAGTAGCCCGTTGGTTTACGCATTCGCACGTTTGCATACGTGATCTTTATCGTGCAAGTAGGTGAACGTCATTGTTGCAGTCTCTTCTTCTGTGTCACGCGTACTGCCTGTTGCGCATCATATGGGCGCTTAGCTGCAGTCTATGGACGCACCTTTTCTGCTAGTTCGTACTACTAGCATATCACACCCTTCGACATTCACCGAGACTCTTATTTTTACAGACTAGGGTTACTGCGTTAGCGCATGGCTTTTATGTTAGGCAGGTCCTATTCATGAAGGCCACCAGTTTTAAAGACTGGAATTACCAGCTCAGCTCGTGGCTCAAGATCCACTCTAATCTCAGAAAAGGGCTGCTATGTTTAGGTTTCATGAACATGCCGCCCTTAAAGTATTAGCTCCAGCGCCGCATCCCCAGTTGCGATACAACGCTCTAAATACAAAGCCTGAGTGCTGCTCAGAATGAACCCATATGTTTGCAAGACAATGCACTCCAAACTGAAGCTGCCCTGGAATAAACAAGCTAAATAAGCCATGCGGAATGCCAGCGTCCAGTATTGCTTCACATTTGGGCTCAAGAAGATCAAATCATGCAACTACTGTCGTACCCGTGCAACAGAGTAAACTCTGGCGCTCGCTAGCCTGCTCTTCATCAATAACTCCTTAGAGCGCCTCGGCACCTGCAGTCGTGTCTGACTCTCTTTCAAAGACGCCCCTGCCCTCCGTACTTAGAGCAATCAACTGCTTTACAGCCATGGCAGCGACTCAACACCCGATTTGACTTATATAGGATGATTTGGCTCGTGGCCTCAACTCATAAAGCGGCGAGGAATAGATTACCGAGGCTCGAAAACGTGGAGCTACATAATAGAACGCCTAGGTACATTAGTTCGACGCACCCACACTGAAGCACAAGCAATTATCCCTGTAGAAAAGAGAAGAGAATGTAGCGGGTCAAGGCACAACTGTACCTTGAACGACCTGCAGTAATTGGGATTTCTCGAATGCATTTTCTTCCTTGAATGAGCGCCTAGTGCTTAAGATATTCCCTCGAGCATATCTACGTTTTCTTTCGATTACTCGTTCAGTCAGCAGTGCACCTTTTAGACGAAAATGGAAGGCGAAGGTTGGGCCAGCCAGTTCTGCGCCACAGCTACCGACTTGCTGTCACTCTTCGTTCTTCCACAAAGATACGAAACATGATTTCAATCCTTCATCCCAATTTAGTGAGCACAGTTTATGTTCCACTAGCTTGAGCCTAACCTGTTGCAATCATCAGCTGTGCGCTATCTCGTCAGCGGCCTTCTAGCAAGGTAAAAAGCCCAGCATCGAGACCGGTAGTAGTAC